GGCGACGGAGATGTCGACGGGTTCAAAAATGTTGAAGTGTCGCTATTGTTAAAATTTTTCACGTCACCGGAAGATAAAAGCGTGAGTTGAGCCGTTTTTAATTAATTTTCGTTTAAAGTAATGTCTCACGATAGTTTAAACAATTTTAAAGTTCAGAAATTGACAAGTATTGTATATTCTGATTGACCTCCTATATAAAATCTTATTAATATTACTAATGCAACAGTTTAGATGGATGGATGTTTGTTAGAGCTTGTAGCCTAAATGGCTGAATGGGTGTCAATGAAATTTGGCATAAATGTAGAGGATAGTCTTGAAGAACACATTTTTTACTTAATTTTGATTTTTTTTGAATTCCGCGCAGACGGTGTCGCGGGCGTAAGCTAGTGTAATATATTTTGCACATAAAAAAGCCCAACTTTACAAGAAGTTAGTTACTCCTTACAGAGTTGTGATTTTTATGATCTATTCTCCTTTATTTAAATTGTAAGTTTGCAATTAATCATGCAGCTACTTAAATTCGCCGTAATAGCGAAGCGACCGCTGTCCAAGTACTTCCGCAATTACAGAAGAATTGCCTATGTTTTATTGATGGAGAAGGGAACCCAGAAAAAGTAAATTTCCCCTGTATTTTATGTCTTTCCATAAAATCCACTTCTTCCAAACCTTCAGATGAAAACGATGGGAATAGTAGGAGAAGGTTTGGAAAGAAGACTAAAATTAGGCCATAAGCTCAATCTTCCACTTGCTCTAATGTTTACTTCTTTTTTTGGTAACTTAAAAATGACATAAAATAAACTTATTTCAGTATACAATAGTGGTATATTTTTCTGTTGAGTTTTCAGCATTATGTTATTACATTTTCAGCTCAATATCCACCGAATGCAGAATCATCAACAACCAAACTCCTCACAGCTCTACAACTACTCTTGTTACTATTAACGCCGTCACATAGGAACTTTCTGCAGAGGTTACTGCGGTTGTTAAGTACAGTAGCGGACAATGAGGCCTCAAATAGAATGTCACCTGATACTTTGGCTACAATGTTCACACCTCATCTACTATGCCCAAGAAAGGTAATTATTTTGTGTTTTTTTATATCATAATGGGGCAAACGAGTGTGTGGTCTAAATACCTAGAGAAAGCGAAGCGACCGCTGCTTTATACATCTGCAATGGCAGATGCATTATCTCCCCTAATCAATGGAGAAGGTGTCTCAGATAAAGAGGACATTTCCGCTTCCATGCATCTCTTCCACCATCAAATCCACTTTTCCTTCTCATCCTTTCCGTATCGAAAATAGTAGGAAGGAAAAGGGATTAAAATCGGGCCTACAGCACCACAGTCATCAGTTGAATTGAAATAACTCAAAAACTACTGGGACCAAGAAAAAACTGGGATCAACTAAAAAGAAAAGAAAGTGTCATTAAGAATAATAAAAAAATAGGCTATCTTACTCAGTGATAATACAGTTTGTTGTAATGACGAAAGAGTTATTGAAATTAACCCAGTAGTTTTTGAGTTTTTCCTATTCTTACAAAAATACAATTCTTTTTTATACTAGTTTGGATTTAATTACACATGTTAACTATCAATGTTTAAATAAGAATAATGATAAAACAGTAGTAAAGAATTTAATATTCAAAACCATTTTATATAAAAAGATAAGTGAAAATTAATTAAAAACGGCTCAACTCACGCTTTTATCCTCCGGTGACGGCACCGACTAGTTTCGGACCACTAACTAATTAATTTTCGCTTAAAGTAATGTCTCACGATAGTTTAAACAATTTAAAAAGATAAGTGTCAAAAATTCTTCCTTTTTAATATATATTCTTTTTAGTCAACAATAAATATTACTTTACAGCTATCACCAGAAACATTCCACGCGGACTCTATCGCTCTGTCGCCAGTTATAAGTTTCATGATCCGTCAGTGCGCTGCGCTGTTCGCGGCGCCCGCGCAGCTCGCCACCGACGCCGCCGCCTACTTCTCCTTGCGCGAGCGCAGGCGGCTCCTGTCCCCAGATGTCGACTTGGATGAGAGTATTACTGATAAGTAAGTTAAGTGTTTTTTTTATTCTATGCCAGCTGTCGCCCGCTAATTTCTTTCTATCACATTCCCGTGTGCATCATCATCACCAGCTCACTATAAGTCCCCACCGAGGGGCTCGGAGCCTACCCTAATACGGGGTGACTAGGCCATAGTCAACCACGCTGGCCAAGTGCGGGTTGGTTGACTTCACACATATCTTTGAATTTCTTCGCCGATATGTGCAGGCATCATGTTTACATCTACCTTTTACTTTTCTAAAGACCCGTCCAAATAGGTCCAACCGTTGCAGAGATAGCGGTCCCGTCGCCTTTTTGGCAACGCGGTACTAAAAAAAGTAGCCTATAATATACTCGTCCATGGTAGCTACTCTGCAGTCAAAGTCCGGTCGAAATCGGCTCAGCCGTTTCGGAGATTACTCGGAACAAACGCGGCTTGCGGAAATATAGACAGACAGACATTTTTTTTAAAATGCGATTTTCGTTATCAGCAACGCAAATATATCATCTTCTCGAAATCTGGAATTTTTCTTTTGATATTACAAACAGACACTCCAATTTATTATATGTGTAGACTAGCTGTTGGTCGCGACTTCGTCCCTGAAATTTAAATATATGAAAATGAAAATGAAAATGAAAATGAAAATGAAAATGAAAATGAAAATGAAAATGAAAATGAAAATGAAAATGAAAATGAAAATGAA